CTCTCTCTCTCTCTCTCTCTCTCTCTCTCTCTCTCTCTCTCTCTCTCTCTCTCTCTCTCTATATATATATATATATATATATATATATATATATATATAGGTTGATGGCTTCTAAGACTTGTTATGGTAACCAATAAAGATTAATTATATTAATAAATTAATTAATAAAGATTTTGATAAACTATTCTAAGATTAAATTTTATCTTTATCATCTACTCCTTATATAAAAATATATATTATTATAATAAATATATATTTATTATTATATTATAAAAAAATAATGGTCAAATAGGAAAATCATAAGTTTTCTTAAAAATTAAAAATATTACGCTTTTATATAAAAGATTATAGTTTTTGAGGGATATATACACGATGGAAAATACATTGGAATTGATAGAGCGAAAATAGTTATACAGCGAAGGAAAAAATAATCCTCGATAAAAATAGAAATACCAATGGCTTAACGGCGTTCACCGCCGTCGACTTTGGTTCTTTCTTAGCGTCTCGTCGACCTTTCCCAAATCCCCTCCCCGCACGTCCCCTAGGGTTACCAGATCTCGCTATCAGGGCTTCTCCCCCTCTCAATCTCAAAGAAGAAGAAGAAGAGATGTGGGCCGCCTCGTGCCTCGCCTCATGTTGCGCCGCCTGCGCCTGCGAAGCATGCCGCTCGGTCGCCGGAAGCATCAGCCGCCGCTCCGCCCGCATCGCCTACTGCGGCCTCTTCGCACTATCCCTTGTCGTCTCCTGGGGCCTCCGCGAGGTTGCCGCACCCCTCATGGAGTCCCTCCCTTGTAAGCTCTTCACTCTCCGCCCTTCCCGGCCAAAATCATCTCGCTTTCTCCTTTTCTAGGTCAAACTTGGATAGAAATTCTATCGCTTCCCAGATCCAAAGGCTTTTCTCCTTTGTCACGTCCAATTTTGATTAAAGATTTGACCTGTTGTTGGCTTGTTTGAAGGGATTAATCACTTCCACAAGACGCCGGATAGAGAGTGGTTCGAGACCGACGCTGTGCTCCGCGTTAGCTTGGGGAATTTCGTGTTCTTTACGATCTTGGCTGTTGTAATGATTGGGATCAAGGATCAGAAGGATCCGCGCGACCAGCTGCATCACGGTGGTTGGATGGCCAAGATCGTTTGTTGGTTTATCGTAGTGTTTCTTATGTTCTTCGTTCCCAATGGCATTGTCAGCTTCTACGGTGAGCATTTACAAGTTTTGATTGATAATATTGTTTTATCGTTTGGGGTAGTGTTTCTTTGGTTGCAATTACATGCAGAAGGCAGTATTGTCAAGATAGGATATAGTTTCCTAACGCTGAACTAATTTAATACTATGTTAATGCTGAAAGTATTTTTCAGTTAAAATTTTCAGAACATTGTTTCTTGATTAAGGTAGATATCATGAGTTTCTTCTGAAGATGAAAGGCCTGTTTCAATGACCTAGATATTTGTGTGATGGTTTTCTTTGCAAATGGATCTTACAAAATCAAATGGATGGTTAATTGAGAACTGGAGATGGCGAGGTGATGATGGATATGTGGGTTGTAGTGGTGGTGTTATGATGTGATCCTCATTTAAGCTTCTTTTGAGCATGTAGTCTTTTTTTTCTCTGTCTTAGCATCTTAGACTTCCTTTGAGATGTTATTCTGTTTCCTCTGTGATTTGGGGATTTGGTTCCAGACATAAGTCTTGACTCACTTTTTTTTATTTATCTACATTCTGAAGATTATTTCCTGTCATAGGTGATTTATCATTTTTTTTGCGTATAATGTGGGAAGAATTCCTGCACATCAGATGTTCAACCTTTAACCCAGTATTTTCTACAGTCTATTTGTTTAGCTTAAATGGACAGATGAACCACAATTTTTTTAAAAATCTTTTTAGCATGCTAGATTGTGATTGTGACTTTGGCAATTATGTCTTTGCTGCAGAGACAATATCAAAGTTTGGTTCAGGATTGTTTCTTCTGGTTCAGGTTGTTCTCTTACTGGATTTTGTACATGCATGGAATGAGAACTGGGTTTCAAAGGATGAGCAGTTCTGGTGTGTAAATAGCTCTTTCTTTTATCAAGTATTTGTTGTTAGATACAGACTCTAGGATTATGAAAATCATACTCTTAACAACATTTTCTTCTACTGTAGGTACATGGCTTTGTTAATCGTCTCGCTGGTTTGCTATTTGGCAACGTTCTCCTTTACAGGAGTGCTCTTTCACTGGTTTACTCCATCAGGACATGATTGTGGACTCAACACCTTTTTTATTGTCCTGACATTGATTCTTGTATTTGTTTTTGCTACTGTTGCGTTGCATCCAAAGGTATGATCTTGCTATCTTTTGTGAACCATCTAACAAATATATATTTAAATTATGTTCAATAAGCGATTACTTTAGAAAAAAAATACTGCTTACATATTTTCTTCCGGTGCTACTGAGTTTGGCAAAAATGTTACATTTTGATGCTTTCAGAAATAGTAAATCTGCATTTTGTTATATTTAGAACAATTAATGTTGGTCAACTTGTGTTTCATCATTCCGTGTATTATATTGCTTCAGCTTATCATTACGGTGGCGCAGATTGACATGTAATGCATGTAACGCAAATTCCATTATTCAAACGTTTTTCAGCTTACCAGGGTGGAAAAGTTGATTTTGGAGCTTATGCAGTGTTGAAGACAATTGCTATTGATGTAACTGTTTTTATAGGAATTGGCAAACGGGAATCACTATCATCAACTATAGATATTATGCTTTCATTTCTATGAAGCATGGAGATAGACTTGGGACATGAATAGTACATGATACGTATCCCATGATATTTCAAATTTAGAATAAAAGTATGTGTAAATATGGCATGGATGTGGCACTCAAAAAATCTTATTTTTGTTTCTGATTGTTATCATTCTAGTTATGAGTTTGTGTCCTGTATATCTATGATGCTATATGATAATAATATGTAACTTACAATGAGTCATGGCCACCATTAACCCAAAAGGTAAAAAGTAGACTCAATGTAAGATATCAAGGGAGTCCCATATGTATAATGCTGTATACGGTGTGTCCAGAACTCCTTTATAGATGAACATTTATTATATTTGTTAGTTTTATGTGGTCTCATATGTAGAAATATAATTTCTACAATTTGTTGTTCATTGTTCACCCAACCAAGGACAAAAAGTGCAATCTGATGCATTTGGATTGATGTGTGCAGGTAAATGGCAGCTTATTGCCTGCATCAATTATTTCACTTTACTGCACTTACCTCTGTTATAGCGGGCTTTCTAGTGAACCAAGGGATTACGAGTGCAATGGTCTTCACAACCATTCAAAAGTTGTTTCAACTGGAAGTCTTACACTTGGCCTGCTTACCACTGTGCTCTCTGTTGTCTACTCTGCTGTTCGTGCCGGCTCCTCAACAAGTTTATTCTCTCCACCAAGTTCACCGCGTGCTGGTTAGATTCAATGACAAGTTCTAAAACACCCCTGCAGTATTATCTTAATCGATTTTAGTCTGCTGATGAATCTATTGTAGGATCCGAGAAGCCGTTGCTCCCATTTGACAAGTTGGATGAGCAGGAGGACAAGAAGAATGATGAGGCAAAGCCAGTCTCCTACTCATACACCTTCTTCCACCTCATCTTCTCTCTTGCAAGCATGTACTCAGCAATGCTTCTGACTGGCTGGTCCACCTCGGTTGGTGAAAGCGGAAAGCTCATCGATGTTGGGTGGCCATCTGTGTGGGTCAGGATTGTCACTGGGTGGGCAACAGCAGCTCTCTTCATGTGGTCCCTTGTCGCCCCCCTTATCTTCCCCGATAGAGAGTTCTGATTTCATATCAGAGCCCCATGAGACCATTTCATGGATTAATGCATCTATCGTGCTACCGCATTCACATATTCTACATATGTTGTCGACAATATGACGAATGGAG